AAAAAATATCAAATATTAAAAAAATATTACATTTTAGTATTAAATTTAAATAAAATATTAAAATGTTATAAAATATTAAAATATAAACACGGTAATTTTGGTTACTTTGTGACAATAAGCAGCGATTAACAGCCATCTGTAGCTAGCAATGTAGCTTGCGCCGGTGGTTGGTTGCTAAGAAGTGATTTGTTGCTACAGCATTGGACCGGCGTACTGTGCTACCAACCACTCTCCTGCAGCCCATAGAGAGGAGAGAAGAGCGATTGATGCTCTTGCCGCAACGAAACGCTGACCAGCCCTGTGTCCCACATCTGATGCAGCAAGGGGGACATTTTTGGACTGCGTTGGACTGAGATGTTCACAGCCGAAACCGCAGTGTGATTGTATAAACGTGAATAAGCCGCCATGTAAATATTAAAGGACTGGCGAGCCTCACTCGGTTATTATAACAGGTTGACACAATGTTGACGCCTCTTCTACTGTATATGGTCCAGAAGATGATGTATTCAGAAGGGAGGGTTGTCTTCTGCTTTGTAGGTCGGATTGCAATTTTTTTTACAGCTTGATGCTGAACTCCGAGTAGATCAAACCCCTTCTGCTGACCAGACACATATAGGTGGTCTTTGTTCTATGCGTCTCTGGTACATGCTCAACCGCGTGCCCCTAGCATGGTGACCTCGCTGTCGTCAGAAGTTGACGGTCACTCAGTGGCAAGCAGGAGCCAGTAGGATGGGTTCTCGATCATGTGATCACCACGATAGGCAATCCCAGTGGTCACATGATCGGTAAATCCATGATAATATGAGTTTATTGAAGGGCCAGTGGGAAAAAAAACCAGCAAGGGGAATTTATCAAAACTGGAACATACAAAGTCTGTAGCAGCCGTGCATAGCAGCCAATTAGCTCCTGACTTTCATTTTCAACGCTTAACTGTAAAAACTGAAGAACAAAGCTGATTGGTTGCAGTGGGCAGCCACTCTACTGAAGTTTTGACAAATTCCTCCCAATTAATGCAGTATGTATTCATAATAAAAGCATTTAGGTAAAAAAAAGAGCATTTCATAGAACTTGGTAACCCCCCCAGCTGGTCTCTGAATAGTGAGCGAGCAGCAGCAGATTGATTAAGTTTTCCCCTGCCTCCTTGTCAGCACCCCTGATTGGCCACTGGCATTGGTCTCCTCTATTCTGCTGTACAGGGGGGACCTCAAGAGGCATTCATGACACAGGCAGTGAGGCGGACAACTGAAGAAGGACCCTTCTGGATGTAAACAAAGTCGGGGGACTGGAGTGTCACATGACCATGTGACCATGGCTTTAGGTGAGTAGATTGCATTCTTCAGGGCTACATGTCCCATCATGCATTGAGCCACCATGCATACATTGAGAAAATGTGCAGTCAGCCAAGAGGGCGGCATCTAAAAGACACGCCTCTGCTCCTCCCCCAAAAGGAAGTGATTGACAGCCACTGCCAAGGCAGCACTCAGAGTGACGGAGTTCTAACCCTTCCTCTACTCCAAAAAAACTTTGGGCCTCTAAATATTATTATTAGGGATGCACCGATACCGATACTAGTATCGGTGCCGGTGCAGAGTATTAATGCTCCGATGCCTAGCCCGATACTTCCTGTATCACTTGTGACAAGAAAGCATGGAGCCGGCTTCCCGGCCCATCAGGACGCCGGGCAACGTCCTGACTCGCTGCCCCGCTTCCTGATTGGCCATGGAGCCGGCTCCATGCTTTCTCGACACATAGTGATGAGAAGCATGGGGCGGCTTCCCTGCTAATCGGGAAGCCGGGTGGCGAGTCAGTACACGCCACCTGGCTTCCTTAATGGGACTTCCAGGTACGCGATAAAGAAATACAGGGATCGGTGCATCCCTACTTATTATTGTAACACCAGATTTATATAGTGCCAACAGTCTTTGTGGTGAATTACAATAGAAATGGAGACAGTACAGTTACAATACAATTCAATACAGAAGGGTTAGGAAGGCCCTGATCCTAAGAGCTTACAATCTAAGGGAGGGGCAAGTGACACAAAAAAATTCAATAACACTTAAAGTGGCGGTTTATAAAAGGCCACATGACTTCCGGGGCTAACTGATACCCACACGTCTTGCTGGCTGGGAATTGTAGTACTCCAGCAGATGTCTGCCCTGTCCGATACACACCGCCACAGCTTCTTCTCCTCCAGCACCCCTCCCGCTGCTCCATTGTTTGCCTGTATACAAGCACCCAGCTTCATAAGGTGACCCGTGGAAGGCTGTCTCGGTTTCCCCCCC